AAGTTACCTAAAAATGAGGAAGAGGCAGTGAATGCATTTTGAATTTATGGCTCTAGTGTAGAATTGGGTGCCCCTTCGATTGGCGACAATTGTTTCAAAATTTTGGTGATGAAACTTCACTTCTGGTTACCACGATAGTTTTAACTTTGTTTTAGCTTCCCGATTTTATTTAAATGAAAATAGATTGATATGTACATGGACATATTTAAGGCAGTGCGCAATGCCTAGTTTGTGCAACTCTAGGATTTTTTTTAAGTAAAAACAGATTGATGTGTACATGGACACAGATCTTGTGCAATTCTTAACTTCTTATTTTGGTTTTGTGTAGCGGCCATCTTGAAATTGTGCCTACCTGCCGCCGATCTTGGCATCGAAAAAGAATCGCCAATAAACAAGGAGAACCCAGTTGTACACTTTTATCGAATTTATTATTACTGTTACAATAAAAAATATCTTATGTTCTTTCATGGCACCTGTATGATGGAAAAGTACCAATAAGTGTAGCAATCAATCAATATAAATTACAACCACAGAAACTTATATTTCAATAAAAACATGCATTATGTCATTAAAATATTTTCAATTAATCAAATTTTATTATTAACTTAAAACATTAATTTCCATGTAATATATAAATTAATGAATGCAGCATTGATACTCCAAGTACTGGATATAGGATGAAGCAAATTATAACAAACTTTGAAATTAACTATACAACAGTATGGATTATGAAATTAATGAAAAAAAAAATAAATACTTTTCTGTTACCAGGACCAAATTCAGAAATACACGTATGCATATATGCAAAGCTTAGACTGCGCCGAAGCCCGGCTCCGGCACTTCTTAGTTTTTGGTATAAAACATAATTCTTGGCGGAGTGCACCGGAGCCCTAAATAAGAAGGCTTCGGCACCTCTTTTATGTAAGTGAACAACAATTTCAGTAGAAATTCAGTAGTTGCAATAAAATTGTATTAAAAAATCGCTTTTTAAATTTTAGTTTATCTCTGTACATTTTATTTAATTACTTTAATCTTTTAAATAAATAATAATCCATTTTGGTTAATCTTTGGATTATGGTAACTTGGCGATAATTTGGCGACCAACTCTGCTACCGCAACCCTCTATTTTTTTTCGCGCCATTTTGTCTTTACGAAGTAAAAACAGGTTTCTTTTCTTTTTACTTCCTGAACATATTTTCCAACAATCTGCTAGCCAAATTACGCTTATGCTAGAAATTTTTTGGATCAAAAGTGCTTAATCATGACGAATATTAACTGCAAAATTGGGAGAACATGCAGAATCGCAAACTCCTTGCCGCGTTTTTCAAAAATCGCACATCCACAGTAAACCATGAACGTCGACTTTTTTTACTTAAAAAAATATCCCAGAATTGCACAAAATGGCACTGCGCACACTCTTTGACTTTATCATCTACCTGCTTTTTTCTCATAAATTACTAATTTTGCACGAAAATCAGGAAAATTTTGTGAATCTTTAAAACTCGTAAAAAGCACATATTTAAATTACCTGATCGCGAAAAAGTATATACCCTTTCCAAGGATGAACATTTGCACGTTAAAATAAATAAAATATCCAAAACTTTTCCCTCTAATTCTACGAGTATTGTATATTAAAACCTAACCTGCCAATTTCTAATGCAAACATTAAAAATGGTTCCAAATATTAGTGTCAAATACTTAAATTCTTTTCCATGCACATTTACTTCTACTCAACGATTCCAAATACTACCAACATATAACTCTCAAAATCACGATCATTAAATTAAAATATAATTAAATTAAAAAACACTACTTAAAATATAAAAAGACATACATAAATTAATAAAAAATTACTTACAATCCTAATTACTTTAAACTAAATCATTGCTAATAACAATTTTCATAATACCATTTAATTTTACTCCTACATTTAGAATAATGCATAAAAATAATATCCTCAAATAATTAAAAAAACTAACTTACCTAATCTTCTACAGAATCTTGACTGCATGGCGGATCACAAAATGTCCACTTTCACCAGATTTCCTTGTACGCCATTCAACTTTATGAATATCCTTCCTTTCCCACATCTCATTTCATTCCCACATTTTGGACATCATCTTATCCGCATTAAGCAATTTTTCAATTACAATAACACAATAAAAATTCGGTTTACTTTATATAGGGCCATAGGATCCAAATATTAAACAACACTGTTTCACATAACTTAGAATGAAATTAACGCTATAAAATACAGCAGATATTTTACAAATTACCCTTTCCGATTAAAGAAACAGTGATTCGTCCATTAATGCACATGACATATCTCATGATCTCTCATTTCCCTCACACAAAATAATGGTGTAATCGAAACTGAGTACTTCTCACATTATTCCCAAAGTCCTAGGTAGTAACCTTTATCGCCTCCAAAATGTCCCCAAACTACCTGTTACCATATTCCAAAGATTAGCCTTAATTTTTATTTAATTACGTAATAATTGATAAATATTAATTAGATAATATTTAATGATTTAATTTTAAGGTACAACTCTGATATACGCCCTAATTTCACCAAATGTGGCGATATGTGTTCTGCGCTGGTTTTTGGCGCAATTGCGTGTTCTATGGCAACCCTGTTGACGTTGAACAATCTTTAGCTGGAGCTCGTTGATTCGCGTCTATTCTGAGAAGATGGGAGGGAAAGATAAAATGGTAGAAGGTGTTGAATTGAAAGTTCGGCAAAAGGAAATATTATTGTGGCCCATCCTGTTGAGGGGTAGCGGGTATTTGGAGGTGTGGAAAGGAAGGTCTGGGAGATTATTTTTAATGGCTATGCATGACAGAAGTAGGGATTTGTGATTTTTTTTGTTTGTGAACCATAGTATGAATTTTCTGGAGTGTGTCTAACTGTCATGTAAATACGATAGTGATTACGTGGCGCATGTTAAAAGCGGTATGAAATTGGTATTTCTGCTGCTCGAAAAAGCATTAATTCATAATAAGTGATTTTATTTTATTCTTGTTCTTATTTTTGTAGATGTTATGTTCATTGGTTAGTTAGTACGAATTTCTGTCGTTGTTGTTTTTGAAACAAAACGCTGTGTACATGGTATTGTTTGAAATTTATTGTTATTATGTTATTTTACTAAAGCGAGGTGTGCGTAGATCATAGATTCGTTCCTTGCCTAAATTGTGCAATTCGTAGATGTTTTTTTAAGTTTAAACAGGATACTGTGTACACAGTATTCCTTGAAATTTATTAAAGCGAGGTGTGCAAAAAAGTTCATAGATTCATTCCTTGCCTAAATTGTGCAATTCGTAGATGTTTTTTTAAGTTTAAACAGGATGCCGTGTACATGGTATTCTTTGAAATTTATGTTTGTTATGCTAATTTATTAAAGCGAGGTGGCGTAGTTTGTAATTCGTTCGTTGCCTACATTGTGCCATTCGTAGACTTTTTTTAAAGTTAAACAGTGGCTGTGCATGGATTTTTTGTCAAATTTTTTGGTTAGAAACTTTTACTTTTGCTATCTAAATTTTTTGTTTTTGTTTCGGATTTTTAGCTTAAATCGTGTGTTCAAAACGTAGTTTTTGCATGTGCAAAAACCACGTTTTTGGAGACATTTTAGGCTTAAAGTTTGAAATATAGACAAAAAATTTAGATAGTAATATGGCAGCGTGAAGTTTCTCGCCAAAAATGTTTGGCGACTTGAGGGCGCATATCAGAGTAGTTCCAATTTTAAAATTATTAATGATTTTAATAGTCATTTTATTTATTTATTTACTTCTGTTCCTCTTTGCTGATGGTCTTCCATAAGGCTCCAGCACTTCTAATTTTAGAAATTAAGCCCTGCATATATGTATGTATTATCTGTGTTTTTGTGTGTGTATGCGCACATATACATACATGCATACATTTTGATAACTGAAAAGTACTAAGAAATCATTGGCTTTATAAACATTAAGAACAGGCAATTTAGTTTGCCCATTAAGCATAAAGGCCATTACTTACTTTTAAGTACAAAAAATTAAAGCATTTCTATAACACTCCGGAAGTATACATAAATTGGAATTTTATTTTTATAGATTTAAACAAAATTTTAAGCTGATAGAACAAATGAGGAAAATCCGAAATCTGATCAGTGAAATTGTTTCAAGAAGAGATTTAATGCTATGTCTTTTTTATATACTGAAATTTTACATCTTTAAATACTGTACAATATCGTTTTAATAAAAAAAATAGTTATGGTCATATTTAAGCAATTTACGTTTCACGAAGTTCAAGAAAACTAAACAAATGAGGGAACTTTACTTGAACGTCTCATGTTCTAATGAGCCCGTATTTCTAGGGAAATAAGAGTATTGCAAGATCTGTTTATTGTTAAACTAAAACGTTAGGAATTCTATTTTGTCCCCTTGAAATTTTTGCTCAGTTTTATAAAAAGAAGTACTGGAGCTCATCTTATTTAGGGCTCCGGTGCGCTCCGGCTAGAATTGTAATTTATCTTAAAAATTCAGAAGTATCGGAGCCGGGCTAAGGTGGGCTCCGGCACAATTCAAGCACTGGGTGTATCTGATTTTAAACTGTTGATTAAAATTTAGCCATTTAAATCATGATTTTAATCGCATGATTAAAAAAAGTTACTACTGATGTAGCACCGGAGCCTCATCAAATCATTGAGGATTTCCTTAAAAATGTTTTTATAAATGAAGGGAGGAAGCAAAAGAGCATGTAAAATATTTGCCTTAAATGCATGAAGTGTCATGAATAGACACTTGTGCTACAAACAAGCTTCACTGTTCAGATGACTCATTTTTCATACTTATCCCATATTTGTTAGTTCAAATTTATTTTCACCATTTGCAAAACTATTTTTAAGTTATAAAATTTAATTTTAGGAAATAACATTAATCCAAAACAAAGGACTCCTTTGACATAATAGTTCATCAGCAATAAGTCAAGAATCAGTAATTTCTTACCATAAAGCAATATTACTTACCAGAGGCATTATAGCATACTGGGATAGAAATCCAATACCAGGAGCAATGGGTTTTCGAAGAACGGACATCACCACTCCTAAATCAAGGGCGCAACCCATGTTAATATAATTCAATGAAACTAATGTTGCAACTGAACCGGTGAAAGCTTTGGATATGGCTTTTATTCGACGCACAACGCTGACTTCTAATACATTGGAGCGTTCTTTTACAGTTCCATTCACTTCTTTGACTAGCTCAATGGAAGTCTTTCCAAGAAATATAGCACGAACCATAAATGATCCATTATTAGTCTTATGATGAAAGAAAGTTCCATTACTAACTGCAGCAATACCAGGGTCTTTGGAAATCGCTCGGTATAGTCCTTCGTCTGGGTCTGTGATGGCCTTTTCTAATACAGAAAAATAAACAGGAGTTTCTTCACCTTCAGTGATTTTCTTTAAATTAGCTGGATAAAAGGTTACATTAATTGCAGCAGTTATTTCCAAAAGTAGCATCAAAAAGCTAAACAAGAGCGCGAGAAGCACAACAGGACACATTTCGGTAACGTTCAGCTGATACCAAGGGAGTCAAACTACTGACATAAACACAACCTATTTCACCTTCTTTGCGTAACGAGTTCACCTGTTTTCTGATCCTGTTTGCTGTCTGCAATTGCTCTCTATCTGGGTGAGACTAAATTTCAACTTGGCAGGAAATTTTGATTGGTTGGCTTTGGTGACGTCATTTTGACGTATTTAAACTCCGCCTCTCATGTGGTTTACAATCAAAACTCATCATGCGCCATGTTTGGTCTGACCAAAGATGGGTTTCTTCTCTTGCTTTACCAAGATATCCGTATAGCCAGGGCTGAAATTGCCGGGAGCCCACCGAGGCTGGCTCCGATACTTCTTAGTTTTTAGGAAAAATTCATAATTTTAGCCGAGCCCTAAATAAGAAGGCTTAGCACTTCTTTATTAACTGAACATAATTTCAGTAGAAATCTGGTCTTGGAAACTTTATTTTTATAATAAATTATATTAAAAATTGCTTATAAATTCTATTATCACTTTGCATACTATTAATTTTAATTATTTAATTACTTTAAACATTAATTTTTTAATAATGAATTATTTAATTTTTAATTGTTAATGATTTGATTAGTCATCTTATTTCATATTCTTGTTCCTCTTTCTGAAGGTTTCTATAGGGCTCTGGTACTTATAATTTTTGAAATTAAAACCCTGCGTATAGCTGACCGTTTTGTTTTTCAATATGCTTCCTTAGGGATTATGACAGCCATATACTGGTAAAAGGCCGTAGACGATTTTACCAAAGCAAAGATCCGAATGGTTTATATGGTAAATAAGAGAGTTCGTAAGGCAGATTATATTGTAAGAAGTTCGTTTGGTATGAAAACTTCAGTTTTCATAAAGGAAATGGATTAAATGCAGATATTTTTTCCCCATGAGAGAAAAGTCCTAAAAACTACTTCAACTGTTTTATTTTGTAAATGAAGATAAAATAGCGCCTGATATGTGTATGTACTAAAGAGACTTTAATTATTTAGTGAAATAAATAGGACAAAATAAAAATTTGAAATTGTAGTTTAAAAAATTTTTTTATTTGATTAAAACACTCGAGAGCTAACTGCCTACAGGAAGGATGGCTTCTTGAAACTTTCTAAGGGAAACTGGCTCATATACACATTACACATGAGGAAAAACACGAAAACGCCTATGCAACCACCCCAAATCATGTTTAGAATAAAAATTAATTTGTTATTTGTTATCATTTGCGATTATTAGTGGTAATATGTATTGAATCCATTTAGAGCAAGATCTGCAAAGGAAATGAATGCGGAAGAATCTAAATTCTCAGAAGAGATATGCAATTATCTGATTATAATCAGTAGAATTTGCTTTGAGTTAATCCATATATGTACGTTACAAGTGGCTAAAGTATAAAACACTGGTAATTAATTCTCCTTTCCTTGATTTGTAGTAGTTGA